GCCCCAACTATCGTTAGTACGATGGCTGAGAAGCCTCGTGGTGTAGCTATACTGGAAAATGGATCTTCCTCAAACATACCATGTACTTATCACTGAAAGGCACTGCAGTGGTCAGAAGCACAACCTCTGGGCCCAGAAGGCTGAACTGGTATCCAAGATCCTCTATGTATTAGCCGTGCGACTTTGGTAAAGTTACTTAAAATCTGTGCCTCACTTCCCTCATCTGTAAATTGGGCCTACTGATGCATATCTGATAAGGCTATTATGATTAAATGAGCTAATACATGTTAAGTACCTGGAATATTGGTAGGTGTGCTGCAATTACTCAATATCCAATACCTAACACTGCTGCTAATGTTGCCACCGTTTTGTGCACTTCGACTTAGGATGGCCCCTCTATCTGGAACACCCTCCCTCATGTGGCCTCATTTTTTCAGCTTCCTTGTCATCCCTTGAGAGCAAATGGCTGTTCTCAGCCCTCTACATATGCTTCCATGCATCCGTGTATTGTGTCTGACAGGAGTTAGCTGTTTGGTCTTCTACTTCGGATTGTAACCTCTTGAGGGAGCTGCAGCTTATTCTGTCTCAGCTTTTGCTGCCCAGTCCCTAGCAAGTGCTCCATAAATCACATTGCTGGGGTTGGGGTTAGGTTCCATTGACAAGAAGATGAGTAGACAAAAGAAGTAGTAAAAGTCTCTTTTCATACTTGATTTACCCTCTTAAGTAAGCCTGACAAGACTATTTGCTTAAAAAGAAAAAGCCTAGATTTAAATTGGGCTTATGCAGTGTCTTTATAACCCAGGCAGAAATGGCATTGAAAGGCAAAAACTAAACAAAGCTCAATACAGAGTCCTGTTCCCACCTATCACACAAAGCACACACTCTCCAGCCAAAACCGCCTCCTGGCCTTAGGGAGATATATAGCATACGTTGTTACCTGATATTAATAATTTACTCCTTTATCTATAGCTATTTATTTTTCTTTTCCATTCTTCCTTCAACTATTTACCTTCCCATAGGTAAGCAGTGGCTACTCATTGCTGGTGATCATGTATAGGTAGGAAAAAAAATGTGTTTTCCATACTGTACTATATATCTAGATCTTCTATAGTGAGAGTTGTTTTTCTCTCCTTGGCTTAAAAATGAACTTGTCAGTCTAAAGATATTGAAGCTCTTTAATGAAGAGATGCTGGGATATAATGCAGTCAGAACGGGCACTAACACCTTGGACAATTTTCTTAACCCCCTGGACCGTAGTTTGTGTATCTGTAGAGGAGAAGGTTGCCGCCTACCTCAGTGTGATGCCCTGAAGTTAAACTGAGATGCTGCATGTTCAGGCACATGATAAAACTATAACATGTTATATAATGGCAAGCTGTTGTAACAGTTCATTGATGATCATGTAAATTTTAAAAAATATGTACTTTTCATCTTTTTATGCACTTCTGGAACATAGATGCGTTAATACTGTTTTATTAGCAATATTTAGCGATCAGCATAATCAACTGGCTTTTTTTCCCTTAAACAAATGTATAGCTTGAATGAAAGTTCAAAAACAGAGACCGTTTTTACTTCCCTCTCCCTTATGTAGCCATTTTATGGCTCAATATCTGGAATGAGCATTGGAGATGCTGGGAAGGGTTTCTCTTCAGCTATATATAGTATACTCAGCCAGTGTGGCAGCGCTGGTCTGGGGTTAAGTATGTTACAGTGGCTCTTGTGAGCTTTCCACGCTAGTTTTATAGTAAAAGTTCTCCCAAAATATAAATTGATAACAGCGACTCCTCTAGAAAATGCATACTGTTACTGTTCGCGATTCACATAAAACTGCTTGTTGAAAATGACAGACGTCTTTTCCTTTTTGCCTATATTTTTCCTCATTCTCAAACATTTATGAAGCACTGGCCAAGCGATAATGCTAGGGACTAATCAAGCACAGGACAAATAAGACATGTCAATTTGAGGAAAAGAACCAAGCATTTTCCAGCTGACATCAGAAGTCCAAAATTGGCCAATCACAAGTGAAAAAGTGCCTGGATGTGCTGTTTGAGATTCTGTGAAAGCATGTGTTCACATCTCTGAATATTGAACTTGGCTCTTCTGCTGGAGAACATTGGTATAGCTAGTGAATATGTACTTTTGCTTACTTTTGGATGACGATTATGCAAACCATCCTCTGTTAGTTACAGGGTTCCACTACAAGACACATGATGACTACAAAGGTGACACCTTGCTTGCTTTTCACGAATTATGTGCAACTTCAGAATCAATAAAAACAGAGCATTATAAATAATGTATGAAAAAAATGGGAGCAATCATCCCAACTGCAAGAAAACCATTTCTGGAAAACAATTTTTTTTGTTACTTCACAGTATTTATTGTCTACTCCACAATGTAACCCCATTTTTAGATGCTACAATAGAAATGCTCCAAGGAAATGGGCCCCCATGCTCTCAGAGAGAGACTGTAGACTGTTTTTACAACCAATGGAGAGTGCTAAGAACAAAATATAACTCCTCTGTTAAAGAAGTTCTTATTCTCCTTTACTTTTTCTAGGATATGGCTCAGTGCTATCTAGTAGAACTTTCTGTGATGATGACAATGCTCTGTACCTTTGCTGTCCCACACAGTAGTCACTAGTTGTGTGTTCCCATGGAAACACTGGAAATGTGGCTAGTGTAACGAAGGAACACAAGTTTTTTTTTATTTAATTCCAATTAGCTTAAATTTAAATAGCCATGTGTGACTAATGCCTACCTTATAAACTGAGCAGCTATAACTCAGGTGGTAATATTCATAATAAGAGTAACAGCTAATTATAGAGCATTATATTATATGCCAAGTACTATATTAAGCATATTATATGCACTCATTTAATCCTAATAACATCCCTAGGAGGTAGTTACTAATATTGTACCCACTTTGCAGATGAGACAGCTAATGCACAGAGAATATGCATGGCGACCACATGACAATCTAGAGCAGGGCAAAGTTGGAGTTAACATTCAGGAGTGAGTTTTCTAGCACCCTCTGTCTTAGCTGTGCACCAGCCTGCCTCTCCATAAAATGATGGAGAATTTATTAACAGCAATCTAATTGAAGCAATGGTTATCCTGACCATTCTTGCTACCTTATTGGGCAGAAAAGCATGAAAGCCATCAAAGCATGAAAAACAATGTAAAAATAACAATCTCTTTGAGGACTTCAGGGCTAAATAAATTCAGAGTTGCTCTGCTGAGTAGCTTGGAATAATTGCATACGGATGTATCAACGCACTTTGCCTACAAAATTCTATGACCTGTGGCCCACTGAGTGCAGAAAAAAAATATTAACTCAGCTTTTTATCTGGTAGTGTTATGGAGATTCAGCCTCAAACAAAGATGGTGCTATGTTTTCTGCTCCAGTAATAGAGCTCAGCAATTAGCTTCATCTTTATTTAGTCTGCAACACCAGTCTGGAAGATCTCTTGAGAGGAGACCTCAAAATAGCTTCTCGCAGTACTAGCAGACAGATAGAGATGACTTCCTGGGAATGTGGTGGATGCCACTGGTGAGATAAACGAGTATTTTTTTAATCAGTCTTTTTAATATCCTAGAAATCCTCTGCTGTGTGATGGCCATCATATCAACACCACATTGCGTGTGTTGATTATCAAGCAGAATTATTATTATTTTTTTTAAAGTTCCCAAACCTGGGTGTGCATCAGAATCCCTGGGGAAAGACTGTTAAACACAGGTGACATTTTGATGAGCACCAAGATAGGGAACAAAGGATTTAAATTAGATGGAAGTATAAACTCAAATGCATTTCAAAAGATTTCTTCTTGGCAAATTTTCTACCGTAAGTAGGATAGTAAAATTAGTCCTTTGTATTTCCTTAAATATCCGGATACGAACAGGTAGTAATAATTTAATGTAAACTTCACCACAATGGTGACAATGTTGAATGTATTTATGCCTTGAGTCAAGGAATGTGTGCTATTATGAAATTAAATGAAAGCCAAGATATTTAAATGTGGCATCCCAAGTGGCTCCGTTGATAGTGCAGTAAAATTTGGGGCTCTAAGGCACCCTTGTTCCAAAAATGATCAATACTAAATAGTTTGAAGACAAGACAGAAGATACATTGATATTTTAATCTGAAAATCCTGCAAGTTATTCCAGACAAAAATCAGAGGCAGATGGATTACTTGACACACTCAAACTTTATTGGGTATGGTACGGAGAGAGAATGGGTACAAGAGATCACATGGAAGAGGATCAGATTGGAATCTCCAAATTCTTTCCTAGAGGGAACACAAGCAGAAAATTCCGGTCAATTTTAGGTGACACAATAACAACACCGATGGCTAACATTTGAATACAGCCGAGCCAAACTCTAAGTGTTTTGTTTTTATTTAGTCCTCACAACCACCATTTTTGCAGATGAAAAACCTGAGGCACAGAGAGATGATCTTTTCTAAGGAGTCAGCTTTTTGCCTGCTTGACATAAATGTTAGAGTCTTACACGCTCATCCTTTTTTTTATTTTTTTTTGTTGTTGTTGTTGTTGTTTTAATTTGGATGTCCAGTAGGGTTGTTGTTGTTGTTGTTGTTGTTGTTATTGTTTTAATTTGGGTGTCCAGTAGAAGCCCCCACTTGTGTAACTGTCCCTGCTATTTGACCCAGAATAGATTAAGATTCCAGTACTCTGGAAAAGGCTGGCTTTCTCTGGGTTGCATCACAGTAGATCACAATATGAATCTCTCCCTCATTTGGTGGCACTGGTGTTATTTTTAAATAAAGCCCCGAGAAAAAGTTCTAATGGGCCAAGGTCTCAAGACTTCTCTGGTGTAATTTCTCCTTATTTTGGATATTGAGAGGACATTGCTGGTATGTGATGAGGACCACCCTGGACTAAACCCACCCTGAGAATTGGACAAAGTCTCTTCTATTCATTAAATTAATCAGCAGGCAGGGTAAGAAAGCCTCCCCAGGATACTCAAAAGGATGCTAAATGATACTTGCCTTGGACAATCGCCTGACTGTACACCAGTGTGGATGGTCAGTTGCGGTTACACTTTTTACCTGAATAGAAACAACAGCTCAAGTCTCAGTCTGGACTTTGGCAAACCACGGGAAATTAAAATGCAAATGAAATTTGCAAACAAGACAAAAATGAGGGAACGAGGAATTAAGTTCCTAGAACAAAAATGCTAACTCTAGGTGGATAGCTTAATCAAATATTCAGCTAACACAGATGATAATGACCCAGGTGGCCATTATTTTTTTAATAGAACTTTGCTGTGACAAAAGCAGGGAGAGAAGAAACCGGTGATGAAGCTGTGGTGAGAATTAGCTTTTCAATTTTGTGTGAGAGGAAAGTGCCATTTTTTAACGCTAATAAAATTTCTGAGTTTAATTTCCTTTGCTTAGGTTCCCATTCCAAACTCAATCACCTTATGCAGAGGTGGAGTCCATTTTTAGCCATCAGTATATGATGACTTGGAACCTTAACTCTAAACAGGCTACACTCAGCCCCGGATAACCAGCAGGCCTCAATTATGTTATACAATGGATTTCAATGAATTCTCAAAATTTAAACATTTCCATCTCTAGAGGGCCATTGTTCTTTGAGGCAGGAAATATACTCTTTAATTTTTCAGACCACCAAAAGAATCCAAGAGTAGGTGAAATAACATCCAGTAGTCTTATCATTTGCAGTACATTAAAGAAAAAAAGCGGGGGGCGGGGGAGAGGGGCACATCTCATTCAAAAATGGCCCTGAAATCAGATTATGATTTTCACCTTGAAGCTCTGAAGGGCCTAGCTCAAGTTCAGGAATCAACTGATGAGAACAATAAGTGCTGATTAGATAGATTATGTAGACTGAAATGCTTTCTCCTATTTCATTCAATTTCAGAAAAGTTTATTAGGACTCTGGACAGAGGACCTGGGTTCAGGCATCTGCTGTGCCACTCTTTGGTGTGTGTCTGGCAAGCTGCTTCACTGCTCTGAGCCTATTTTCTCATAGGTGAAGTAGGAACAATAAGCTTTGCCTCAATGGATGGTTGACCACTTTTCTGAGTCTGTAGCAATAGGGATAATATGGTAAAATTTTCATCATAATCGATATTATTATTATTATTATTGTTATTATTAAGTTACTGTAAAGCACCATGCTAGGCCCTTTGAAGACTGAGATGAATGAGCCTGGTCCTCCATGGCAGTTCTCTAATTGATTAAGATTGATAAACATCAAACTACCAAACTTCAAAGTATCAACAAAGATCTCTGAGAGGTTTGGTTAACTGGCCTCGAAAGGAAATCAAATATGTTTTCACAAGCAAAGATTGAGGGACTCTCTTCTACTCAGTCATTATTCTATCACTCAAGACATATCCCCAAACTGTTATTTGTACTTAAAATTCTCTCCAGCTTGCCAGCCAGCCTGAAGTTACCTGTCAAAGTTAATCACATGGAGTGGTTCATATATCAGGTGGTATGAGCCTAGCTGTCCCACGGCAGCCTGGCCGAGTGACTGATAGCTTTCTCTGTCAATTTTACCAAGACAAAAAACTATTAATGACCCATCACAAGACCATAGTGAATCATCTCAAAAACAGAGTTTGTTGTACTTAGAGAAAAGGTTGTCTGACTTCGTAGGCAATCTAAATGTCATCCCCTCCAACTCCGATGGCTTATAGTAGACAAAAAGGACAAAGAAATTAAAACAGATGATCAGTGACTAACAATGACAGGAGGGCTTTCATTGACATGTTCTCATGCTGTCTCCGTGGTATCCCATCAAGGAAGCTTGCTCCCATCTTAACAAAGAAGAAACTGAAGATAAGAGATAATATAGCTTAGGGGTTCATGAGGTGATGAAGCTTATCTACCTCAAGTATTAGAGCCAGGGTTAGGATCCTATTTTAGTTTTCCTTATTATTGGCCAGAGAAAAGAAACAGCACACACGAGGTCATAACCGATACTTGGACCAATACTTACAGCAAGTGGGATTGTTGATTTCTGTCATATTCTTCTAAGTGTTTGGGTCAGCTCAGCAAGAACAGACTTTGGAGACATTTTCTCAATCCTCTATGCAAGCTGGGGTCCTCAGAGGTTACTCTGAAAGAGAGCAGAAGTATAAAGGGAATTCAAAACTAATTTTAACTTGAAAAGAAAAAAATAATGAGAATATTCATGTGGATCATAAAGAGAAATAATGATTACCTTTGATTCCTAGAGAAAGTTAATTTAAAATGCATCCAAGATCCATTGTACAGCCAAAAAAAAAAAAAAAAAAAAAAATCCGCAAAGCTGAGACATGTCTTTAGTAGGCAGAAACAAGAGTCACCATCACTTGAGTCCTGAGAAGATGCTCATTCACAGTAATTGGGAAGAAGAAAGATTGGAGAGATTAACTGACCTTGGTTTAGGACACATACTGTTTCTTTACAAATGCAATTGATGCTTGGGGGCCCAAAAGACAAAATCTGTCCTTAATGCCAGTCTCTACGAAAATGCACATAGTAATCAGAAAACCACCTGTTTATGTTTTGCCAAATTAGAAGCCATCACCATTTAAAACAAGTACTGATGATCCATTTCTAATAGTAACTTTAAATTCATGTGCCCTTTGAAAGAAAAATGGCATAGGTATTCTTCGTCCGTAAAAGGAAAGAAACAGGCATACAACTTTGTTCGTTTTATATATGTGCTTAGCTTGTCAAAAGAGACATTAATTACACACATGCAGATGTTGCATTGACTGTCAGTTTTAAGAGCCGTGCATAAAAACTACAACATAGTTATAAAACCTGTGACATCAGCGTCAAAAATTGCCTTCTCTGGGCAGTCTTTGTGACCTTAAGAGGTTCGATCTGGAAGAATATAATTTCATTTGCTGAGGCTATAGACTTAGTATTTTCTTCTTATTAACAAATATTAACTTATTAGATATTTACTGTGTATGTACTACGTTTTAGGTAAGGCTAGGAGCTGTTGGTATGTGAAGTACTCCATTCCATGTACATTTCCTGAGAACCTAGTATTTACCAGGCCCTGTGCTAAAGGCCCAGGGATAAAGGTGACAGTCTCTTTACTCCCAGGATGCTTTCTGTGTGTCATCCCTGAAACTATCTGCCTTAAAACCCAATATTTCAGCCTCACAGAACTGCTTTCCAGGCTTAGGGTACATCATATTTTTTTGTACTCCAAGTTCTTTGTGCAAACTTATTTCCTGCAATGAGTGTCTTCTCTTCATGGCTGCCTGGAGTCCTTCATCTTTTACGACCAGCTCAAACAACAACACCTAGGTGATGCCGTCCACACATAGCTCACTAGCACTTGGTATAAACCTCTCCGAAGAGTCCCTGCCACTCTGAATTATAATTGCTTACCTTCAAGTCTTCCATCAGATCTGGGCTCCCTAAGGGTCTTCCGTCCCCAGTTTCTAGTCAGTTCATGGCTGACACAAAGGAGCAGTGCTCAACAAATGTTTATTTGATTGACCCAACTTAAGAATATTCTTAGAGTTAATAAATCCTGGCCAGATGGTGTGGTGACATGCTTAAAGGTAAAATGTGACATAATTTTATGGTATTGTGTGTATGTTTTCTTTTTTTATGCTAGAACTAGTAGAAATCCCAGCCATGTGAACTTTCATCCCATTCTTTAAATTGTACTGAAATGATGGAACAGAGATGGCGAGTATTAATTGTTTTTTGAGGATGCTGAGATATTAAACCCTGATGAGAGGAATGATGGTATTCCAGAGCTCTTAGGTAGAAAGAAATATGCCAAAAAGATTTATGGCTGCATTTATTTCTAAGGCGATTTCATATCAAAGGTCAGGTAACATATATTCTTTGCTATGCTATACTTATAGAGTGTTTCAAAATGGATTTTAAATTGAAGAAGTCTCCAGTTAACATAGAAATATCACACTGAATGTTAAAGTGGAGTGAGGGTCTCAACATGATACAAAGTTAGATCGTACACTTCCAAAACCTTAAAAATGTGAAATAATCCCATTATAGTAATTATAGAAAACAAGAGATTATTAAATTTTTAATAATTAATGAAATGGCAATAATATAACCACTGTACTTACTTGGAAGAATATATCTTGTAAAAAAGGCTTAGAGTTGTTAAATGTTCATATTTGCTGAACTAAACTCTTAAAGTTTTAAAGGGTTTTTTTTTTTTTTTTTTTTAAATTAGAACACCATTCCCTGGCATGGACATTTACCTCCTAATGAAATAATCTATTTTGTGACCTGGTGATAATGCCAGATTAATTGTTTTTTTTTTTTTTTTTTTTTGAGTAGTTGCATTTTAAAGTAAATATCATTACATTGATAACAATCTGCAGAGTTTTCAAATTTATAAACATTCAGACAAAAGATGCAAGCAGTGTTAATTTGGCCAATGTCTGGCCCATAGTGTTTGTCAAAGGAGAGTGCTTTTAAACAGAGACAGTCTATGAAATGTGTTTTCAAACCCAGTTAGGTAGGTTCTTTCCTGACTGAATTTGAACCTGCTTCTTTCAAACCCAGGCAAGCAGATGTTTGATTTGCTCTATACAGTGTGTCTTCATTGGGGCATGGTGGCTGAAACTGAAGTTCACTCTTGAAACTATAGATTTTTCTTTACTGTTTTGTCTCCCTGAAAACAACCACACAGAAATGAATTTGAACACACAACATTAAGTTTCTTTCACTGTTCTCCCAAGCTTTCCAGTCTTATTGTAACCTGAACAAGGTGATACACTCCCTTCTTTGAATAAATTTAATTTAGACTAACTTTTATTTCCCAGCATTTTTAAGTAGCTATATAAGATGTTTATCATTAATTTAGAAAGCCACCCTTACTTAAATTGGCAGAAAAGGAGAGCACCTAATCAAAAGTTTTGAAATAAGACAATTTTAGCAAAAATTTAAGTTTATTTCTAAATAGTATATCCTAAAAGTATTTTTAACTGAAAGATTGATTTAAAACATTTTTATCTTGCACCCTTTAAACCAAAAGACATCAACTTAGAATAGTGCTAAAGAGAATTTTTAATGGATTGAGATTAAATCTATCATTTTTACCCAGGGAAAATTCCTTCTCATTTATTCTGAGGCAGTCTCCTGTAAAAGAACTATTAAAGTGATGAGCTGCAATGTTTTGACAAGCACTTGTACTGCAAAAACTTGAAATCTCACTGGAATACAGTTATATATTCACTGGGGGAAGAGAATGCCCTATTTAAAAACTAGGACAGATCATGTTGATATGGAGAAAGGAAATAACTATGTGAACAATACATCCAAAATTAAAGAATGATTTGCTGGCATCCATCTAAAATCAACAGAAAATGTAATTACTCTTTGAAAGTACTCTTGTCTTGTCTTATTGTGTTAAACGGATTTTTTTTTTTAAAAGCAAGGTATTATTTGTACTTAGAATACCATCACAAAAACAAAGATGGAAAGAAACATAGCAATGATCTGATAAAAATTCCATATTAGCAACATAGAAAAGAGAGACTAGCCCACATTATGAAGCAATATTCACCCCCCTCCCATGATATGACATTTCTGCTCTCTCTCATAATCTCTCTAGAGATAGGTCTCTCTATTTAATAAGCACAATAGGAGGTTTAGAGGAAATCAAAGATAACCTTTTATTCAAAGCCACCACATGATTTAGTGACCTTACTCCATGTTTTCTACTGTTTATTTTCCCACGGTTTAGATTGTCTCAACTCTAGCTGGACAAGGATGCTTGCCAAAGCAAGTGTTGTTTTCCACTCTATTATAATGTTGCTTAAGCTGAAACAGGGAGGTAATAATACTAACACTAATATTCTTTCATAGAATATATCCTTCAGTGACAGCCCAATGTAATATGTAAGCATCAATGGTTAATCAATTATGTTCTTACAGCAGCTCATTCCACATCCAGTTCACACATCAGACCGTTCGCCATTTCTTTCAAGCTATTAGTTTGAATACCCTTGGTATTTACTGGTTATTCCTGGGTTTGATTAATATCAAAACTCATTTGTAGATTCTTGTGGTCTTTCACTGAACCTTTCTCTTCCCTGTGAAATGACTAAATTGGTTCATCGTTTCTCTCAGGCATAACTATGAGCCACAAATCATCTTCAACACAATATCAAGTCCAGCTAGCAAGTCCTTTTCTATTTCTTTGCTGCAAAGAAGGAACCAAGACCATTTTGAGTTTAAGATGGTTGGGCCAGTCATTGTTTTTTGAATGAATACATTTCTAGGAATGTATACATTTCTTTGAATGTATATAATAAAAAAACGGAATAAACATTTTCTTAGGCTTGTAAAATACTCCCCTTCTCTCTTTAAGTGTTCCACATTGCCTTCTAAAACCAAAGTGTGAAAACATACATTTAAAAATAATTTCTCACCATTGGTAGTTTTAAAGTAGAACATGTATCAGAATGACCAGCACCAATTCTGCCACTATTGGCTACTTCTTTCAGGAAAGACAAATGCACACATGCCTATATATATGTTCTCCAGAAAATACACCAGGCACGTGATTTACAGTAGCTCCCTGAACTATACTTAGCTAACAAATCATCTTTAAAAACACGTTTCTTCATATAAATAGGTTTATAGTTAATCATGCACAATTTTCATGGAAACATTTCTGATACCCAGTAGAGACAAGAACACACAAATAAATAAAAATTAGATCGTGTCTTACCTTTTAGAAAGCAGGCAAAAGCTATACTGTTGGTGGGATAGTGTACCAAGTAACAGACTTTTGTACACTCTTTATTACTGGTGGTATACAGTCTACAGGAAAAGTAAATATATAGGTATGTATAAAATAAATGTTCACACAATATTGCTTTTTTTACTCTTTTTCCTTTTGGAGAAGAGGCTGCAATAGAGACCATAGATATTATGTCCATTCTTTTAGTGGGCTCAATAGCCTTTGATAGACCAGTTCACCACAATTCAGGTACCTCTGAACATGGGAGTACTGGTGCCTCTTGGTTGAAGGCAGTTCGGTTTTACTTGCTGGAGCTAGAGCAGTTGCGGGAACCACCCCCAAATAATCTATCTGTTTGGTCAGAGCACTCTATTCTTCCTGTTGTCATACTTTTTATTCTCATCCTACTCCAGCCATGCTGACCAGCCTGGGCAATTAGTTCAGAAGGATAAAACAAATAACAGAAGCTTGAGAATGCTAGGGATTCAACAAATGAAGAAGCAGCACAAAAACAAAATGAAAACCATAACAA